TCCCTGGCAACCACAAGGCTGTATTCTACGTCTGGAGTCTGTTTCTGTTTTATATATAAGTTCATTTGCTTTTTTTTTTTTAGATTCCATCTATGAGTAATATCATATGGTATTTTTCTTTCTCTTTCTGGCTTACTTCACTTAGAATGATATTCTCCAGCGCCATCCTTGTTGCTGCAAATGGCATTATTGTGCCATTTTTATGGCTGAGTAGTATTCCATTGTATAAATATACCACAGCTTCTTCATCCAGTCATCTGTCAGTGGACATTTAGGTTGCTTCCATGTCTTGGCTATTGTAAATAGTGCTGCTATGAACGTTGGGGGTGCAGGTATCTTTTGGAATTAGGGTTCCCTCTGGATATATGCCCAGGAGTGGGACTGCTGGATCATATGGTAAGTCTATTTTTAGTCTTTTGAGGAATCTCTGTACTGTCAAAACCAGCATTACTTTTTTATTGACTATTTTCTAGCGCACTTTCAGGTTCACAGCAAAATTGAGAGGAAAGAATGGAGATTTCCCCTGTACCCTCTGCCCCCACACATACAAGTCCCCAACCTGAGTCCCATACTTTTGTTGAATTGATGAACCTACATTTATGGTACATTCTTGGTCACATATGGTACACATATAAGTTACATTATGGTTCACCCTGGTGTTACGCATTCTGTGGGTTTGGACAAATATATAATGACATGCATTCATCATTATGGTATCATTCTGAGTATTTTCACTGCTCTAAAAAAAATCCTCTGTGCTCCAGCATTACTTTTTGAATAAATAGAATGGAAACCCATAGCTTAGACATTTAACTTTTCAAAGTTAATTACAGATAATAACATTACTGTCTCATGACTATTTTGTCTCAAACACACACAGTAGAAACACACACAGGGATATACAAAGTATTTCAATGGGGACTGATCAAAAAAGTTTGCAAGCCACTGGGAAAAGAGGTCTCAAAATGTAATCAATCCCTGGAAGAGACACCAAGCAGGGACACAAAACCTGGGTTTGCATTCAGTCATTTATTCACACAGAAATTTTATTTAAGTATTAGATTTTGCCTTTTGCCATGCCCTAGTCTAAAAACACTGGGGATAAAGTAGTGAAGAAGAAGAGATAAAATCTCTACTCCCCTGGAGCCTACATTCTAATGGATGAGAGAGACCATGAATAAGTAAATATGTGTCTATATTAATAGGAGAAGAGGATCAGAGATCAATGGGGTAGGAGACTGTATAATTAAAATATATACCACTTTTATAAAAGTGGTTGGAAATGCTGATTAAATTTCCTACATGGCTCCTGATATGAGAACACAGGAAACATTAGAAAATGTGCAAGTGGCTAATGCTATTATGACAAATATCAAAATGATTATTTATCTCAGTATCTTATATAAAATATTGAATTTAAAGTATTCAAAGTTTTGCCCAAGATACTGACATTATGCACTCAACAAGGCATTATTAATTAATAATATCTAATAATTACCTGAGAATAGGAAAGACCATCACACATAGTCAGCATGGCCTTCATTTTTAATGTTAGTAAATACCCCAAATCAACCATAAAACCAAAAAATTAGGCACCTGCACCTACCTGATTGTTCTGAACCTGGATTTCGGTATTATTTAATAATTCATTCTTATAAATTAGATTGAGTGTATCAGCCAAGCCATTGTACACAGAATAGATGTTCAAGAAAAATGTATTGAGAGGGTGGCAAAGATCTGGTATCAGGATAAAAGATAAGATTGATGTATTTATTTTTTACATGTATCTCAAACTGACTTACCAAAATATTGAATTTGCCACATTTTAAATGCCTATATTTCAGAACAGGAGGCCACACGATGAAATCCGACTGATAAATATTTATTATTATTTAGAACAATCTAAATCAACTATTCTATATTTATTTGATCTTCAGTGACATTCATATAACTATAAAAGATACCTGTATTATTTAGCAACATTAAAAGTATGAGAGCAAGTAATAAAAAGTCCGTATAAAATGGCATTTATCTCAGACAAATATTCTGGCAGTGACGATTTGATAAAGGGGTAGGTTGAGGTATGACACTATTTGTATCGTCTATTCTTCCTTTGATTAACAGACAAAGAATGATGTTTCCTATTGCATTTTCAAATATGACTGGTTTCTTTCACTAACTCATTAAAAACCATGATGGAAAAGAATGAAATGTGACATGACCGTTTCAAAGCCTTTTCATTTGTGCAAGAGGCTCACACCGGTGTCTTCTTTTCTTTTAAACTAAACTTCTACCAACTTTGAGTGAAACCTACTTTATTCAAACAGGACAGCCCTACATTATTCATCTACTCAGTAGATCTCAGAAAAGGCAAAACACTTTGACATAACATCCTAATTTCTGTTTTGCTGCTAGACTATTGAGCATGGTCAAAATCAACTTTTATGGGACCTAGATCCTTTACTATGAAATGGAAATGTTTTACTAGATTACATTAAAGGCTTCTTTCAGAAATCTGAATTTTTTGTTTTGCTTTTTAACTCTTGCCTTCACTTGTAATTTTTCACCATGTGTTATATATGTAATTTGAGCTTTATCAACCTCAAATGCATTTTAAATAGTTATTAGAAAGTTATGTATAAGAATTATATACAAGAATAAAATTATATACAAGAATTATATACAAGAATAAGTTTCCTATAAATTTTAATGAGTTGATATTTTGATATTCCAATAACTAACCTATAATAAAATGATAGCTTAAAGGTTATTTTATTATCAAACATTAATACTTCTATTTTCAAAATTATATTTTCTTTTAAAGAAATCAGTGGTTCAACTGTATAAAAACATAGATCAGGAGAATATGTTTTAGAACAAATTACGACAAAGCTAGAAAAGAAATATAATTAACTGATGCTTTAAGATAGTTAGCAAAATAATTTTGACTTATGATTTGCCTCAAAAAACTGGATTAAACTCAAGTTATTTTCAAAATTAAATTAAAAATATTTGAATATCCTGGATTCCAAAGAATGAAATTAAATATCTATAAGATGGAAAAGTCTGCTGTGTTTTTTGAATCATTCTGCATGATTTGAAAGACCTGGAATACTGGCATGGTTACAGAGTATTTTATATAAAGTATATGCATAATATATTATTAAATTATGTTAAGTCATCAACAAATAGCACACTGTTTTTTTTTAACCCATCCAATGACTCAACAATAAAAGCTACCCATTAAAATCCTTCATATTTTTAACTGACTTTTTTGTCACATGTATCACATTTATCCTTTCTTTCCCATTAGTACGAATATAAAATAAATCATAGAAAGACTTTTTAAGCATCTTTTCTTTAAAGAGGGTTGAAAGAGGGAAAAATTGACTCTGGAATTAGGGCTGTTTGGAGGACT